AACGACAGCAACTTGTCTGTTCCCCTTCCCCCAGCGCTGTTCCCCTCCCCCAATTCCCCAATAAAAATCTTAAAAAAAAAAAAAATCTATTTAGGGCCTGCCGAGTGGGCTCAGTTGGTTAAGAGCACAAGCTCTGAGCAACAGGTTCGCCAGTTTGATTCCCACATGGGTCAGTGAGCTGTGGCTGAGCTGAGCTGCCAACAGTGGATGGCTCAGCGGGTGAGAGCATGTGCTCCTAACAACAAGGTTGCCGGTTCCACTCCCACATGGGATGGTGGGCTATGCCCACCCGCAACTAAGATTGAACAAGGCACCTTGAGCTGAGCGGCCACCAGCAGCTGATGGGCGGCAGGATGGCGACTGGACTTGGAGCTGAGATAGCTGCGCTCTCCACAACTAAGATTTAAGGACAACAACTTGGCTGTTCCCCTTCCCCAATAAAATCTTAAAAAAAAAAATCTATTTAATAAGAAAACCTGACAATTTTAGCCATTTGAGGTTTTAGCCATATTTAATATGTAAATATGTACATACACACACACACACACATATATATATATATATCACTATTCTGGTTAAATCTTTCTAAAGGCTTCCCATCTCACTCTAAGTAGCACACACAAATTCCTTGTTATTCCCTTGCAGCAGGCTTTATTTTTCTTCAAAGCTCTTATCACGACCATATTTACGTTTCTCCAAGCTATGAAATAAGCTCCATGAGAAAACTGTTTCATTTACTGCTGATGCCTCAGTACACAGTAGGCACTCAAACATATGCTAAATGAACAGTATGAACAAATGAATTTGTTTGTTACTATTAAGTCATAAAAGTGAGCTAAATAAGCCAATCTAGTTCCCCCCCCCCAAACTGACCAAGATGACCATACTGTAAAATTCTGAGACTACACGTGGAACTTATTATTAACAGGTATTGTGATACGGTTCTACAAGTGACAGTTTGAAAACAGCCAAATTTACCACTGCAGATAGGTAGTCTACCCGTTATCTAGTTAATGGGTACCACCACAGTTACTCAAAATTTTAGTAACAAAACTTTTAAGTATTATCTATACTATTTAATATAGATTAAACTCCAGTTTATAAACTAGTATATACTTCTACAACCTGACACTTTCCCATTTGTTTGTTCTTTTCTTAACACACAGCTATTTCTATTCTTATTCCATTACAATAAAATTGCAACCTTAATTTAATTAGCAAGAAATACACCAAACTTTTTAAAGGACTGAGAAATGAAGACATTCCAATAACCCTGGCTTTTCTAGAACAGGGTGACAAACTTTGAAAATAAAAAAGGCAGCATAACCTATGACCCTCAGTTTTCCAATCTCAAAATGTATTACATCATCCATTCTCAAAATTATTGTGCTATTATTTTTTTAACAATAAAATTGGATTTTATTTTTATTGTGCTATTTTTAAAGATAAACATTAGTCTTTAGCATGGTGACTGGCACAAAATAAATAATTATTAGTTTCCTTCTCCCAATAAAAAAAACAACACAAAGGAAAAAAACAAACCACAAAGACTCTCAATCACTACTTCTTGAAAAATCTGAAGGGAGAATTGACAGGTTGCGTATAACAATCTTTATTTCTAAGCTCCACTGCAGAATTCTTGGTGATCTCCAATTTTCAGAATTCTAAACAGCAAGTTATTTGAATTTCTAACATTGGCTTATGTTTTCTTTCCTTTTAAAAAGTTTGATGCTGGGTAGATTTTAATAACATGCTGCTTAGAGAATATATTTTCTTTATAAAAATAAATTTCTAAATTTGTAACGTAAGTCAGGGATAAATACAGATTTTCTATGTTTCATATGTCAGTTCTCAGTCACTGGGTATCCCACATGTTATGGGATATGTAACATGGGAATTGAAAGCTTAAGCTTCTAGAAAGAAATTCCTTATCTTTCGCTGATGAAAAGTCAATCTTTCCTCAAGAGTCCAAGAGTTAAATGGACTGTCTAGCAAAAGACAAATTAGAATAGGTTTAAAGTTTAAAAAGCATCAACATTCAACTTATTTAGTCAAAATATATCTTGGTTCTTGATTTTGACTTTCACATTGACATAAATGTCCTAAGCAATTTATATTTCCCAAGATAATTTCCTTTTTAGCACAACTGACAGCACAATAATCACCTAAAGTCAATTCTAGATTCATAAGGAAAATTCTAGACTCATGGATATTCCAGGTCCTTAGCTCAACCTATTCTCGTACCAGAAAAACAGAATGACTGAAATATCATTTGGAGTTGAACCCTGAACTTTGATGGAAAAGTGAATATACGTTCAGTGCCGTGAGTCACTTATTTAATAATCACAACTTTTCAAAGTTAAAGTTGGTCCTCATTTTTCAGATGATGAAATGACAGAAGTTGGTAACTGATGAAGATGGATAATTCTCCTACTCTCCCAATCCTCAATAATAATCAAGCAGCTTATAAATAGCTAAAGTAGAGAATGCAGAAAAGCAAAATAGATAAAAATTCAAATTTGGCCAATTTGGTTACTTTTGATCAGGTTTAAAAAAACTGGTTAAACATGATTTAAAAATTATGTAACGGTTTCAGTTATTCATGTAGATAACTAAAAAACAATATAACTCAAGTTTAGAATGCCAGAACCACTATCTACTCTTGATGCCTTAACATTGAGAAATAGCTTATGATGGAGAGCTCAGTTTTGGTTGGCTGGGTACCTAGCATCCCAGATCCCAGTGCTTCCCTGGCTCTTATCATTATGATCCTGAATTATGCAACTCAGTTCTCTCTGAACAGAGGCTAGCACCAGCCAACACAACTTCAGTTAGAAAACATGTACCTTGTTGAAACTCATCATAGCTAAACACAGGAAACTAATAATCTAACACTGTACTAACCTTGGCCTGGTAGAAAGGATACTAATTTATTGGGATATCGGAAAAGTCATGACTATTTTTTCTATGCTTTTTGTTGCAAAAATGCATCATGACTTTTCCGACAATCCAATAGTTAGGAGCCGGAAGACCACCTTTTCCTGACTCTTAACCAGTCATGTGATCCTGAGCAAGTCACTTAACTCTGGGCTACAGTCTTCAAATCAACAAAAACAGGGTATCAATTTTGGCTACCTCACAAAGTGCAAATCTCTTTAAGTGCCATAAAAGTGCTATAAAAAGAAAGGATTTTTAAAAATGAAATACTAACATTAACTTAAAAGTTAATTTTAATGTGCATTCAGAAAAAATTAAATTCCACCAACTACATTTTCAAGAATGGAGAACATTTATTTAAAGACCAGTCTCTAGTCTGATGCACAACCTTAATATCCAGTATATTGTTATGGGACTATTGGTAAGTTTTTCTCTCATAAGTTTAATAACAAAATTATCTAGATGCAGAAAAGTGGGAGATAATTTTAAAAATAACAATAACACTAACTACTATCTAGGTCTTGTTTTGCTAAAGGATCCACTAACATAAAATTTTTAAGATCAAGAAAAAAAGACTTAAGAGTAACACAATATAAAATTATGATGATCAAGGTTACTAAGTAAAGAATACTTTCAAGGGGATTCTACACTCATGTACCACATACAAGCAAGAATGTAAGGGACTTTGAAAGCTGTAATGTATTGCACAAATATAATCATTACAACTCTCATCTTCACATCATAGGGCTGCTATCAACTTTCTATATTTCAACTCATTTCTTACAAATGCACAAAAATATTTTGAGCAAGCATGACTCAAAATTGAATCAGGAAAGCTCGATATCATAAAGTTCTGTAAATTTGATGAACCAAGTAAAACATCAATAATGCCTGGGACACACTTTTATTATTACTTTCATCCTTTGGGATGCAGAAATTTAGTTCCACCACTGAGAAGTAAATGAAAATACTGACCACTTAGCTATATGTATCTACTTAGGATAATGTAAAATCTAAAAAGACTCTAGAAATACATCCACCCAAACACTTAAAATTTAACCTCATCCTTTCTTCCCTCAATTTGCCTAATCAGATGCTACCGAATTGACATGAGTAAATAAATAAAATACAGCTATCTTGAAAAGATTTTCGTACTATTTTTAAATGAGGTTTTAAATGTCTACAATATATATATATATATCTATTACAGAAAACTTAATGGTCAAAATATAGAATTCTTAAACCTCAAAAAAAACGGGTGAATCTGTGGGGATAGACCTGATTTCCACTTATCTTTCTCAGCAACGGAATTGACTAAATTCTAAGAGATGGGAAATTCGACAACTCACGACTGCAACATGCTCATGGAAATACTATTCTACCTCGAGCAAAAGAATCGTTCTTTACCACATAAACACGGTTATTTAAGATTTTAACAGTCCTTTGGAATCAAACATCCAACTGATTTAATCAAGACAAGAATTTGGACTTGTGTTCCCTACTCTGATTAATGAGGCATAATTTAAAAAAAAATTCAACTAACACCCTTACAGGGATCCAAGGTGAGACTTTAAAATTTCACAAAAATCTGGAATTCAATAAAGAATTATTTTTTCTTTTTACTCAGAACGCATCAATCACTCAAAAATGGAAGTCTCCAGGAGAACGCAGCTGCAGCAATAACCTACTGCGCGATGTGGAATTTGGTCAACGAACACTGCTTTCCTTCCTTTGCTGAACTCGTTAGCACCGCTAGTCCTCGGGATCCGGCCGAGGGGGGTGGGAGGGGGCGACATGGAGGCGCGGACAGGACGCGCACCGAGGGGGCGGACTCCCGGTTTCGCCGGCCCGTGGGAGCGCCCACCACACCCCGGGCCCAGAGGATGGAGGTAAAATGGCCTCGGAGCGGCGGAAGTGTCCCCACAGGCTAGAAGGTGGCACGGCTAACGGGAGGCCGGCGGGCCCGGGCACCCCGAGGAGCCCCTTCCGTGCCTCTGCCCACCCCTTCCCGGGTCAGGGCTATAGCGCCTCAGCCCTCTGGACCCAGAGGTCCTCGCGGCCGCTTCCGCCGGCGGCCCGCACCTACCTCTCGAGAGGCCGCGCCGGCGCCGCCCAGTCACATAGGCCGAGGCCGCGCCGCCCGCTCGCCGCCCAGGCCGCCCGACCGCGCTGCCGCCGGGCCCCGCGCTCCTCCTCCCGCCGCAGCCCCGACGCACCCCTTTATTTGCGGGTCTCGCTGCCACAAAATGGCGCTGAGGAAGGAAGCGAGGCTCCGCCGCCCCACCCCCTTTCCGCTCCTCCCGCCCCTACGCGCCCGCCGTCCTGCACCCCGCCCGAGAGCGCCACCGTCCGCCCACTCCAGCCCCGTCCGTTTCGCGTCCGGCCGACTCACCGACCGGCGGCCTCCCGACGGGGATGCAATCACCGGGCCGCAACCGGACCCCGCCGCGGGGAGGAAGGGCGAAAGGACAGCGCCGGATCGGACTCCTCGACGCGCTGAGACGGGGGCTGCGCCTCGGGGGCACGCCCCGCGGCCCCCCCGGCGCGCAGCAGGCTCGGCGGGGGAGGGAGAAATTCAGAACGCCGGGAGGGGGTGGGCCGCGAGGTCGGAGGTCAGTCGCGAGGCATCACGGGAAGGGCGGCGGGGGTCGCGATTGGTGGCTACGGCCGGACGCGCTCGCCGGCCACCTGCGGCTGCGGCGCAGCTTCTGGCGGAGGAATCTGAGCAAAGGCGGCGCGTGATTGGCCGTCTACGTAAACCACCTCTCTGATGCTTCCGCACGCTGGCTGACCCAGGTGCAGGCTCCGGGGCGAGGCCGTGGGCGAGGAGTAGGCGCCCCTCAGCCTCACAGTTAACGGGTTTTGGGGGCTGAAGCCGACGCTGTGTCTTCCGTCTTGAAGTGCGGACCCCGGCCACATGGTTCGTCCCTGCCTTGACATTTCGGCGAGAAACGGGGGAGCTATTGTCTGGCAGATGGAGGTTGTGCCTTTGTCAGCCGCTCCAGGGGCACCTTGCCAACTCAGAAAGGAGGGGAAGGCGACCCCGGTGTGGTTTAAATGAACCCGATAAAATAAGTTTTGTAATTCGAATACACTGCTTTACGCAGAACTCTGTGTCGTGCAGACCATTGCATAAGAATGATGGTGTTACCTGGCAAGCGTGAAACAGCCTTACACTTAACTACAAGGGTTAGGTCATAATTTTGATTGGTCTGCCCTTATCCGGCTTTACCAAAAATGTTTATCCCCAAAGGAGGTGTCCTGGAATGAGGTGGCTTATGAGGATAAGGTTAAAGTATACTCCAGGTGGTCAAAGGGATCGTGGTGTATTCCCAGTACATCAAATCAGTGTGGAGAAAACATTCGCAACTTACAGCAGAGGAACTCTGCAAAACTGAAAAGAAAAAGGCCAAAATCCAAAGAGAAAAATGGGCAAAGGTATGAACAAGACAATTAACAGAAAAGGATAGCAGTGATCCTTAAAAGGCTGTTCGTCTTTACTTATAATGGAGTGCACATTGAAACAAGACTTTGGAGAAACCGTCCTCAGCTTTCCTGGTGGGAATGGAAAAATGGAGCCCTATACAGAGCACTATAATTCTATATGCGTTTATTCATATGTCTTGAAATTCCACCTCTAACCCTAATCTTCACCTCCACAAACACAATAGAAACAAAATGTAGGCAAGGTATTTATTGCAGTGTTATTCGTCATAACAAAAGTTTGGAAATAACTCAATGTCCGTTAATAGGAAACTGGTTAGACGTGATACATCCATATAGTGGAATACAATGCAGCCATAAAGAGAGTGAGGATAATGTTTTTGTGTTGCTTTGCAATAAGTCCCAGGTTATATGGAAAATTGGAAGGATATCCTAGGAACAATAAAAACGGTTATCTATAGAGGGTGGTGGGGAAGGGTGGAGCAGAAAGAAATAGAAGGAAGGCTTCTCTTGACTTCGAACTTTTAAAGTTTTACATAGCCAAAAAGTAAATAAAGAAGGAAACAAAGTAAACCCAAAGTTTAAGGCGAATTGAATTAGGTGAAATTGGTAAAATAACTATGTTGTTAAACAGAGAAAATACTTGTTCCCCAAATCTTCTGAACATAGTACTCAGAGAATATCTGTGGTGGGATATATACTAAAGATGAAAAAGAACTGCAGAGGAATGTTCAGTTTCACTCGGTGGTTTATAATTAATGGTAATATCGTTGCTGCGGTTTTGAACCTCTGTATATTGTAGGATAATATAAATTTTTTAATGTTATAATGTACAAGACTTTCAGTGTAAGAGAAAATGAGATACAAATAAAAGATTAAGGAAGTTCAGAAAAAACCCTAGGTTTAAATCGGAAATATGAATTGGAGCACATGACTTAAAAAATAAATTTCCTAGTTCTAAGCACTGAAAGGGTCTAAAAGCACTAGGTTGACCAATTGTCCCAGTTTGCCAGGGACTGAAGGGATTTCCTGGGATGCTGGACGTTCAGTGTTAAAACTGGAGCCGCCCCTGGCAAACCAGGATGGCTGGTCACCTTACAGTAGCAATGAGCACACTTGCCAACTAGATCGGGTTCCTAAATTCCATTTCCCACTAAATGGACCCAGAGCACCTTGGAGAAGGCTGATTCTTTCCCTGGGGCCGGGAAAGTACAAGATAAGTCAGACAATTTGTTCTTGAATGCAAAGGAAGTGTTTAGGCTAATGGGAATATGTCAACAGGACTTGAGGAGAATAGGCAAAACTGATCTATAGTGATAGAAGTCAAATCCGTGCTTGGCTAGGAGGGGAAAGGAGCAGGAATTGACTGGAAAGGAACATGAGGAAACTTTGGGGTGATGAAAATGTTCTACATCATGATTAGGGTGGTGGTTGGTCAGGTATATATATGTTTGTCAAAATTCGTTAAATGGTACCACTAAAATGGGTACACTTCGTGTAAATTATACTTCATAAAAATTATACCCTTATATGTATGTAAATTATACCTCAATAAATGGTGGAAATAAATGAAGACCAACAAAATGAGAAAAGCAAAGGCTATGTATTCAGAGTTTGCTGTAGCAAGGTGGAAAGCCTCAATCACTTGCGTTTGGCTGTCTCAAAGGCTGGCAGAGGAGGGGAGAGCTCAGTGAAAGGGGCGGCTCCAGGTGTGACCTGATGGAGGTCGTTGGCTCCGGGAAGCTGGAGGTAGCTGACTAGAGGTCGGGCATCATGGGATTGGTTAGGGGTGCATGTGTCACTGTCCCTGATTGGTCCTGAGTTGGAAGCAGGGACAAAAACTAGGGATGCTGTCAGTTATTAATCAACTCCTGGCCATTTTGAGCTAATTTTTATAGAAGATTTTTTTAACTACCTGGATTACTAGAGATAACAGCCTGACTTCCTCCAAATCTGATTTACAGGAGGGTGGCTTCCTGGGCTGGTTACTCCAGATTGGGGGTGTGGGGGGAGGGGAGGGGTTGGTTTCCTGGGCACTTTGCTGCAGGTGGTAGATCAGACTTTTATCTTTATACATGGTTGTCTCATGTCATTTGTATATTCAGTCTGCAAAAGTAAATTTTAAGAAGACAAGCCAGCCTGAAGGGTCTACCATAGGCCAAGTTTAGGGCAATTTTAGCATTGAAAAGAAAATGACTAAAATTGATTGTAAATACTGAATAGATAAAAATCTATGACTGTACAGTTATACTTGATGTGGAAGAAAGGGGCAGCAGGCTATTTTTCCATCATTGGAAATGACTATTACACCAACTTCTAACTCTGAAAATTAGTTGTTAAAGGGAAAAATAGTATTTGCCCTGCCTTTTTTTTGGGGGGGGGCAGGTATGGCAAGTATGACTTATTATGGGCAAATAGTAGGAAAAAATGTTACTAATAGCCATAGATAAGTTCCTTGAGACATGTGTAAAGAGACACTTATTAAAAATTTGCCTAATTTTTCTGATGAATTAAGTACTAGCTCCTTGTTAACTTAGATTTTTTTTAAAATATTTTATTGGGGAATTGGGGGAGGGGAACAGTGCTGAAGAATCGGGGAGGGGGAACAGACAAGTTGCTGTCCTTTTGTTCTTCAGCCTAGTTGTGGAGGACGTCGCTTCACTGGCCCATGTTGGTATTGTGATCATTGCGCTCTTCCCGGGTGAGGCAGTTGGTCGCCAGCCATTGGACGGCGGCTCACACTGGCTGCCAGCCACTCATGGTAGCTTATGGCAGCCCACTGCAGCCTCACTGCAGCCTATGTATGCCATCCGCGGCGTCTCATGGCAATGTAGCTCCAGGTCGAGCTGTTGTTCACCATCTTAGCTGTAGAGGGCACAGCGTCACTGGCCCTCATGTGGGATCCAAACCAGGGCCCTGCTGCTCAGAGCTGGTGTCCCAAGCCAACTCCTAACCAACATGCTACTCGGCCGGCCCTTAGATTTTTTTTTTTATGCCTTCTAGTCATGAGCAGTTAGCATCACCTTACCAATAACCAAATAATTAATCAAACTGAGTCCCAGTGGTTATATTCATATCTAGGTTGTTTGAATGATCCAGAGCTCTTACTTGTTTGCTTTAGCTTGTAGTTCTTGGTTATATCTTGGTTGTATCTCCAAATACGGAAGAACTGAGAGGCTCCTGCTGCCCCAGCGAAGAAATTAACAACAGACTCCAGTGTTTTGGGATAATGACAAGTGACTATTTTGACCAAATAAACCCTGTAGCCATCAAACCAGCAGATTGAGCTGTACTGAGTTTTTCCGCAGGTCTGGCCGTGTCAGCCAATCTAGCACACACCAACCCTCATTTCATAGTTGGAGCCCAGAAAAAAACTGTTTGGGGACCTGCCAGATGGTTGTATAACGGCCTCAGTTTCTCAGGCAGCATGAGCTCCACTTTATTGAGGACCTAGTGGTAGGGCGCCCCTCAGGCCCGGACACCAGCAGCTGACATTTCTGAGGACGAGTCATGATGGCCGGCCAGGTGGGAAGGTGGCCTCATACTCGTTCCTGGCTGACTACAAAAGGCAACTCATCACTTTTCTTTGCCCTGCCTTTTTTAAAAAAGGAGAATTGTGGAATGACTGATTAGCTCAGTTGGCTAGAACACAGTGCTCATAGCACCAAGGTTCCCGGTTCAATCCCCACATGGGCCACTGAGTTGCGCCCTCCACAACTAGATTGAAACAACTACTTGACTTGGAGCTGATGGGTCCTGGAAAAACACATTGTTCTCCAATAAAATTAAAAAAAAAAAAGAATTGTTCACTCCTGGTTGATGAGGAAAAATTCTTTACAATAGGGTGCTGGCAAATAAATGTAGAATAAATGGTTTAATTAGAAAATGACTATTATGCAAATTCTAAGGACATAGTTGATTCAGGCAAGGATTATGAATGGACTTAAAAACCTTTAGATGTCAGATTGCTGGAAACGGGAGTATTCATGTGGCACCAAAATGTCACGTCACAGGTTATTTATCTACTAATTGTGAAGAACACACTTGTATAGTGGAGCCATCTGGTGGTCACCTCCTGAACAAATAATCAAATTTAGAATCTGAAATAGTGGGAAACCTTCCAATTTACAGAAAATATAGGAGAAAGAGTAGTGGTGCATATTTAACAAAACTAGCAAAATTATTCTCCCCCCAAAACTTTATGAAACTTTCAACAATAAATATTTATTGAGCACCTGAGTTAGGCCTAGCACAGTCCTCGGTACCAATATCCATGCCAGCTCAAGCTACAATTTCAAATGAGATATCTAAGTATGATGAAAGTTACTTACCGATTACTGTTCTTTTTTAAAGATTTTTTTTATTGGGGAATTGGGGAAGGGGAACAGACAAGTTTCTGTCCTTTTGTTCTTCAGTCTAGTTGTGGAAGACATCGCCTCACTGGCCCATGTTGGCACCATCACCGCGCTCTTCCCCGCCAAGGCAGATCGGTCACCGGCCACTGGACGGCCACTCACGGTGGCTCTTGGCAGCTCACACCAGCTGCTAGCTGCTCATACTGGCTCCCAGCCACTCATGGTAGCCCATGGCAACCCACTGCAGCAGGGGCTGCAGCCTATGCCGTGGCCAGCAACTCCAGCAGCCCAGCTCCAGGTTGAGCTGTTGTTCAGCATCTTAGCTGTGGAGGGCAGTGTCACTGGCCCTCAT